TGCGTATAAAATTATGAAATATTTGAATTTGTAAAATAGAACAGTCATGATTAGTAGACATACATGTAGTAAAAATACTTGACTTATGAGTAACACACAAGACACACCATAAAGACAATAAAAGAGAGGACAAGATTAATATGAGAATATCATTGAATAATTGATGGCAAATGTGCAAACAAAACATGAAAGACTATGAATATTATTTTTACAAGTTTCTCCTAATGTTTCATATTATTCATCAATTATGACTTCCAGTTAAAGGGTAAAGACAAAATTCAAAATGTTTACAGTTTCTATCTGCTGGAAATAAGTCACTTCACAAAAGAAAAATACAATGGAAAATATAACAAAATAGGAACTGCTTCAAATTCCTTTGTCCACAATCAGTCCAACCATTGGTTTGCATAATAGAAGTTGGTAGATAAGCTAGATAACATACAACGGCAAGGACAACAATGTCTGGTTTAATGTATTTAGCTACAATCGGAACCTATCATGTATAGTTCCCTATCACCAATGGGTTGTAGTCACACCAGTTTGATAAAGGTATAATGATAACATCGAACTGCTGCTTAATGCGATGAACCAGAAGTTGTTATCCGTATAAGCCAATGTTTTCTAAGATATTATGACTGTTATATTGCTTCAGTGTAGAAACACTCGCAACCTACATTCATACACAGCCAACAGAAGCAGTTTATGAGATCTGGTAAAGTTGAACAAAAACATCAGGGTAAACACAGGGTTCAACTCATTCAGCTGGGACTATCTGCTATCTGGATATTTGGATCCACTAACATTAAAAGTGATCTCATATCACAGATGGAAGTTCAAATTGTCAGTCAGTGTGATTACTTGGAGGTCCTTTCCTTGAGCTGTCTTGGCTACGACAAACCTATGTATCATAAAACAAACTTACAACAGCTTGTCTTGGAGCTGCTTTAAACTTAACACAAGGTTTTCCCTGTATGACACTAATTTTAGGAAAGACTGTAGCTCTCATCTGATGGAGGTAAAATACCTGGGACTTTCAAAATGACAGTGTCAACAATTCAGGGATTGCCACGACTGAATCCCATCATGCAGCAATAAACCACATATGATACTGGTATTTAAAGATGAAGAATTAGACGTTAATTTCAAATAAATGTGGATGAATGATTAATGTGCGTTCTAACCTTTTCAACTGCTGTCATACTTTGATGATGTTTTAGTGCCAAGACAACACTGACATTAGGCTCAGCTAAAAACACATTTCCTGACCACGTCAGTGCTAAAACTGCTTCATGAATGGACCACCAGGTAAAGTAATGGTGAACGATCTGATGACATTTCTGGACAATCAGCTGGACAGCCTCAATAAACTCAAACATGTAACTATTTGTGCATTTCCATGGAAATAAGAATAATGTGGAGAAGTGCCACGCCCACCTGAGTGAGGGGCAGGTCGTGAGATTGCAATACAGAGGTATTAGTATGTTTTGTGCAATATTGCAAAAGAGAAGACACCTCTGGCTCAGCATAAGTTTTCATAATGAAAGACAAACATGATCTGTATACTAATATCATGAACTGATTTGATTTCTGAACAATTGGGCACTTTCTGATTAATGTTTTGTATAATGATAATATAAAGGCATGTTGTGTCCTTTTGAGTAAAAATCTTAACAAACTTAAGAAGTGACAATATCAGTAAATATAAAACAAATCATGTAATACATAAGAAAAATCATTCTCTAAAACATATATTAAACTGGGGCAAATATCAATATGAATAAAATAGTAAAATAGTGACTACAATATGTTTTGACAATGCATGTGAAAATTTTAAACTTTAATTTTGAACTTCATGCAGAGTAGATATATCCTCCATCTATATAGACATCATTTTCAGCAGGTAACATCTGACGTCTCTTTCCATTAAGAATATTACTCTCTTAGAAGAATCCATAGCACATTTACAACTACTAGTAGTTAACATTTGTGGTTAAATTCAGTCTCTGTAACATTAATCTGATTCTTTGAATATTCTCTGTGCTGCATTGTACACACTGGTTTACTGTCTTCAGCAGGATATGCCATAATCTGCTTCACAGTGTCTGAACAGAATTGTTTTTTCCCTTCCGCCCAGCCCTTTCTGCAATGCAAAAACCCTGAGTGAAACAAGTGAGATTTCCACAGGTTCTGAATCTCCCTTCTCACCGGGGCTCCCTTACAATCTAAAAAGGTTTGTTGCAATCAAAAGCATATCTATTCAGAGACTAAGCGTTAGTCTAGATGTGCCAAAGACTACAGAAACATGTGAGTCCTGCATCACTTGGTCAATCCTGAGGAGCAATACCGTCATGAAGAAATTATTCCTTTAACAATGTTTCGTCTTTTTATTTGAGCAGTTCTTATTCTCAATGTACCCACAAGTGGTACTTCAAGATATAAACAAAAAAAAATGTTGTGGATGACTCTGAGCAGGGGGAATTCACTGGCCATTATGACAATTTTTAACAAGTACAGCTGATCCATCTATCATGAGTGAGTTTAGTTTAGTGATATTCTGCTGTTTGCAATATTCCAAAAATATAATGCCAGGAATACCAGTAATGGGCTTCACACATTGTACCCATGACGGGTGATGAACGATTGCCTTAACCACTAGGCTACCCAACTGCCCCGATCCAACGATTGGTCATATTGCATAATAATCAAGACATCATATACCCGCCTTTTTTCTCATGATTTCTTCATTAAGGAAGATTCGGAAGATTCGGCTATGGCGAACTTTTATGAGTACTGCAGCACCATGACACTGGAAACATCAATCATACATGATACACAAGGTACATAGATGTATCAGAACAGGAACAGATAACTGATTCCCTGGAAGAATAGTTTAAATCATCATTTTGTTCAGCTGACTTCTTTCTGTGTGAGTACCACGGCCATGAATCATCATATTGCAGCTGAAACAAATATCTACTGAATTCATGGTTAGTGCTTGTGTTGATATTGGTGCTTCCATGAGAAACTCGGCCAGCTATTTTAACCCTGGTTAAAGACAATGGGGTAGAAATAATACTCATATCACCACACTAATGGGTTGGTATACCTCCAAATATACTTCCTGGCCCAATGCTATTCTTACCAACATACCACACTCAAAATGAATCGTAATGCATCTAAGCTTATCATTCAAGACTAACAAGATGTAATCTACAAGGTAAGCACCATGTTTAGACTAGTCAACATGTAATCACATAAAGTAAAGTTCGCACAATATAGTTGTCAATGTTGATAATTCAGCAAGAATCTGTGTGCTATTATGGCCTTCATGTACATGAAAACATAAAATCTTGTGACTTAGCTTCATACATAATCTCAAACTGGACTTGGAAGAACTGGCTTATTTTGACATTACATTGAGATATAAAATAACAATCAGTAACTACCACTTAGACATTATGCTGAGCTTTGATAATTTGATTTAAATAAAATCAACATGAATGAAATAAAAACAAAAATCATAATAAGCAGTGATATGCTTACACTGATTCTATTCAGACAACAATGGAGAAACGGTGTATCGGCAAATCCCTAGCACAAGTAACACAAGTAACACAATCCAAAAGCAGCATTACATTTTATGTAAAAAGGGTTTCCTAAACCATCATACTGGCCTTAATTCATACTGGAACATAGTGCTACATGCACGGCAACTGATACTGAGAACATTCATAAAGATACAAGAAGCACAGGTAGCTAGGCTACAGTTCAATCAAATATACAGTTTAAACAAAACATAATGCAGGGGTAACCTGTAACCTTCATGGCACGCAAGTTCACACACATTCTTTTCTCATTATGACAGACTGACAAAATAAGAGAGTATGTTATTAACATTACATGTCAAATTCAAAAACTGTCGCAACACAGAAGATATTATTAATCTGAGTCTGATGATCAATTACAGAGATTTTTGTCTGTATTAATTCTGAGATTGTAAACTAGAGTGAGTCTGGTTTTACGCCGCTTTTAGCAATATTCCAGTAACATCACAGCCGGGGACACTAGAAATGGGCTTCACACATTGTACCCATGTGGGGAATCGAACCCCGGTCTTCAGTGTGAGGAGCAAAGGCTTTAACCACTAGGCTACCCCACTGCCCCGTAAACTAGAATTATTGGGTAAATTTTAACATATTTTCCAAATAATGTATATGTGTCATATTGTTTTGTGAGCATGATGAATAGGTAATCTAAGACCATTTCAGTTAACAAAACTCAAATAATATGGACAATTAAGCAAAACAGTCACAGGAAAATCTTGAAAAATGATAGCTTCTATTTTGCGTTACACTTGAAACACGACATCTGAACAAGCACTTACCAAGCATGTCAACACTCCATCAACGCATTCTTAAACAAACAACATTTATGGCATGCTATCTTTATAACACAATGAGCCACAGACACTTTCTAAGTGCCTGTTTATTTTGTGAGTGAGTGAGTGACACAAAAATGTCTTCTATACTGAACAAGATCATGGTACAGAAATACGTAAAATCAAAACAGAAATGACAAAAATGTAAAATGTCTTGAATTTAAAAATATATCAAAACCTGTTGAAATATTAACTAATAATTAAGAAAAGAAACCAAGTCCAAGATTTGACAAAGGAAATCCATTATTGATCTTTCCTACAAAACACTTAAGGAAATCAAAGACACATATTTGTTAGAGAATGAATCCATGCTTTGAACGATTGTGCGTTATGCAGACTTCCAGACAAGCTGTGTATTGTGTAGTGAGTGAGTGAGTGAGTTTAGTTTAGTTTTACGCCGTGCACTGTAATATTCCAGCTATATGGCGGCGGTCTGTAAATAATCAAGTCTGGACCAGACAATCCAGTGATCAAAAGCATGAGCATCAATCTATGCAATTGGGAACCGATGACATGTGTCAACCAAGTCGGCGAGCCTCACCACCTTATCCCGGTAGTCGCCTCATACAACAAGCATGGGTTACTGAAGATCAGTTCTTACCCGGATCTTCACGAGTATGTATTTGTGTAAAGTCACCAATACCTGATAAAATTTGAATGGACTGCATACAAACACGAATGAAAATTTCAAAATTCCTGAAGTTTACATGACTGTAATTACCCAATGATGCATTTGGCTAGTGTACTTCTTGACCAATTAGTTTTTACTGATAAAATCCATCTTAAATCCAATCATCTATATGAACTTGACTGCTGGGATTAAATCACACGCTGTCATATGTTGCATCAGAATTATTATAATAAATATTTACGTAAGTGTTTAAAAATACCCACTAGACCGAACCCAAGGGAGTAAAACTGTATTAAAACCCAAAGATGATTATCCATACCCAATGTGAATGATAACATGAGGAAATACTCAATGGTTGTAAAAATGATCTGGGGCCATATGTAATGTGATTGTCGAAAACTACTGGAAAAACAATGGCCAACGTATGAGGAGGCTAAATCCACTGACTGAGATCTATTGCACTGTAAAAGCTTCCTTCACACAGCGGATACACCCTGTTCTGATGCGTCATTGTCTAATGAAACAAGAAATACAGTAAAATCATTTCACAAAGGAAATGGTTTAAGCTGAATATTATGACTTAAAGAACAGACTTGTCTGTCCATACACTGGTAAAGCACTGTCTATGAATACAACTTAAAATGTCACACTAAAAGGTGACTTTGTCCATAACCTACATACCCTGAAATCATAGTGGACTGAGCGGTTTCTATTGCCGACAAAACAAGCCATATAAACATTACCACAGGGCCAGCAGCTTCTTCAAAAGAAGGGTCTTATCCCCCTATTGCTAAACCATCAGATTAGTTGTAACTTTTTTACCTTGAACAGGAACAGTTTTAATCATCATTTGGGAATTTTCATCAGTATCTGAGCAGGTTCAGATAAATTCCTGTTAAACATTAAAAACATGACAAAATATAGTTACAATGATGATTGTTAAGTGCACATCAATTCAGCTGTAAAAACACTATGTAGCTGCCTGTCTTGTTTGTTGATTGTATTGCAATCGAAGAATGAGACATCTTAGCACTGGAAGAAAGATCAAACCTGTACCCATCCCTGTGTCTCATAATTTAAAAAATTAATACTGCTCAAAAAACAAGCACAAATATTTGTTCTACTTGACAAGCCAACAAATACAAGAGCAAGGTTTAACTGGCATAGACACATCACTGTGACAATGTGTCAGTTTGGCGTTCTTGGGGTGATATAGCTGATATCCACCACATGGTTAAATAACAAACCTTGTTAAGGCTAACATCAATGGATGGAAGATCGAGATCCAAGGCGACATACGCCGGTATTGCTGTTGGTAGTCCACACAAACTACACATGCTGCGGCAGGTTTGGACTGAAGACAATTGATGGAAGAACTCGATGACCTGCTCCTATCCCTTGTCAGCGTGTATTGTTGGCGGCTTGGGCTTGTGGAGTGAGTCGGTCTGATGCTGGACGCCGGACACAGGATGTGTCCATGTTGTTGTCTGGTTAGTATGGCTGCAACACAGCAAACATGTCAACCCTCTGATCTAGATCGGACAAAGGAAGTAAACAATGCTGTTTTCAAAGCTATATTTAGTATTCATTACAAATATTTTCTCAACATTGACTTAAATGGTCAAAAATGTTTCAAGCTGATTTTAGCAGGGGTCTGATGACCTAATATAATGAATCAGGCAAGCTGAACACATATTCTACCCCCTCAATCATCTAAACCCAAATCCAGTCAACTATGGTCAAAACAAGACTTCTAATACGAAAACAAAATCCAGGAAATATGTCGAAAATTCAGATCTCAGTAATGCATTCAGTGACATTTAGTGAGTTTGATAACATATACCCCGAAACTATGAGCACAGGAGCTTGTTTAACAATGCATTCAGTACTACTCTAGTCATATCATAACAGCCTGTAAATAATCTGATACACCTGTGAAGATCCAGGTTAGAATTGGCTGTCTGGTCCACAGTGAATTATTTACAGCTGGAATATTCGGGACTGTCTGGTCCAGTGCTGTGTTAAACAACAAACAAAACATCTGGACCAGACAAACCAGTGACTGAATCGTCAGTGGATGAAGAACAACTCACTTGATGTAGTACTTCGTTCCATCCCCTGTGTAGGCCTCTTCCCATCCATATGGCAGAGCTGGCAAACAAAGTCAAACTAGAATCACAACAGATTCTTCTCAATTCAGGTCTCATTCCAAAATGTGATCTCAGAACAAAGATTTACCATTGTTGACCTGGGCCTAGATTTATGAAGCTCTCTTAGCACTAAGATAGTCGTAAGTTAATGTTAATGTATGGCACTTATGACTATCTTAGCTCTAAGAGAGCTTAAAAAATCTAGGCCCTGTCAAGTAACTAGTTCCACTTGGTGATAGATGTTGCAGCTGTTTTTGTTTTGAGTTGCTACTTACACGTAGTCTATGTACTACCAATGAAGTCTGTATGTTACTTACGCACAGTCTCAATTAGAGACTTGACCATCTTCACCACCTCCTGTCCCTCCTTAGCCAAACCCTTGAGATTTTGTCTCTTGTTCTTCTTCGTCTGGTTCATCTGGTTCTTTTCATTCTCACTGAAATTCCAACCAATATCAGATGAAATACAATTATGTCTGCTATTTATTTACAATAAAATATCTTGAACATATCTTGCTGGTTCCTATCTTCCAGAGTTTTCTGAAAGTGTTGTGTACTGCTAAGTTAGAAGGTTCCAGTCTTTTGCGAGAACTCTAGGTTAAAATTGATCTTCAGCAACCCATGCTTGTCGTAAGAGGCTACTAGTGGATGGACTTGGTTGACACGTCATCATATCCCAGTTGTGTAGATTGATGCTCATGATTATTTACAGACTGCCATCATGTAGCTGGAACATTGTTAAAAGCAGCTTTAAACTTGAGAAAAACAAACTTTAATGCTGAATACAAAGGGATTAGCTTCTTACACTCAGCAATATTCCAGCAATACAACACTGGTTTGTAATTAATCTGTTGGGACCAGACAATCCAATGATCAGTCTATGCCATCAGCAACCCAATACAGTTAGTTGCCTCTTATGGCAAGTAAGTGATGCTGAAGACTAATTCCAACCCATAACATCACTGGGGTGTAAGGTAATTTGGAATTTGGTAAGGCAGGTGGCTCCATTAAGGTTGTCAACCTTGAGTATGCACTTAATGTTGTCTGATTCAAATGGCATGTAAACATTTCAAAGTTCCCCTTCTATTGATGATAATTTCCTCTATATGTTTAATGTATCTGAAACACATGTTAAGGATAATGTTAACGACAATCAATGAATGTCCAAGGAATGAACTGATCTGGATCCCTGAGTCTCACCTGGCCTGTATACCATCAGTGGCTGGAACTGTTATAGCCTCCTGGACATGCTGAAATAACAAACACACAGCAATTAACAGCAGCTGTGTAACCTTCAAATCTGTGTAACCTACAACAGCTGTAGAGTGAGTGAGTGAATTTAGTTTTACGCCGCTTTTAGTAATATTCCAGCAATATCATGGTTGGGGACACCAGAAATGGGCTTCCACGTGGGAAATCGAACCCGACGGGAAATCGACGATATGAGCGAACGCTTTAACCACAAGGCTACCCCACCACCCCACAACAGCTGTAGAAACACACATTATACAACAGCAGCTTTACAAAGATATATCCTACAACGGCAGTTGTAGAAACACATAGTTTTTCTATAGCAGCAGCTGTGAAACACGTTTCTACAACAGCAACTGTACCTACATTAGCTGTAGAAGTACACATTCTAAATCTTCAAACACACATTCCCCTCCATTTTTAGGGTGGGTGGTTTTGTGTCACCTTAGCACTATTCCAGTTACTACAGGGATAGAGACACCAAGAATACATTTTACTCATGAAGGAAAGCAGTCTGACAATCTGTTGATTTATCATGTGACAGTGTTGGATGTTAAACACCACACTTGTTAATATCAAGCTATATATAGTCCCTTTGGCTCAAAAGCGGACCGATGAAATGCAATCTAACTCGAAAACTAATAAACATAAAATACTCAATGAAACGCTGATCATAATCAAAACATCATACCCACTCTGTGAGGTTTTTGCAGAATTTTTGTCCTAAAAATAATAAAGTTGTTTAACAATCTATCATTAAAATACTGACACAGTTCACTATTTGTTATGAGGGAGGAGTGCAGAGAAAGGACAGCCAGGTGTTCGAGAACGGATGGAGACGGCACAGCACAGGTTAATGAATAAATAACTTTGTCTCTGAACGTGCTTCTCGAACACCTGGCTGTCCCTTTCTCCGCACTCCTCCCTTGTAACAAACAGTGAACTGTGTCAATATTTTAATGATAGTTTGTTAAACAACTTTATTATTTTTAGGACAAAAATTCTGCAAAAACCTCACAGAGTGGGTATGATGTTTTGATTATGATCAGTGTTTCATGAGAATGTTATGTTTATTAGTTTTCAAGTTAGATTGCAATTCATCGGTCCGCTTTTGAGCCAAATGGACTGTAACTGTGGACACTTGAAATAGGAAGCAAGAAAGGTTATCTGGGACCTCTTGTCTGTGTTCCACCTAGAGACTAACCTAGAACTCTCACTGCCCATGGCCAATATTTCTCACACCTGGCCCGTTATTTCACAGTTATTGGAGACCTGAACGAAATGCAGTAAAGTATATATTTGAATCTTGGACAAACCTCCACATATTCCAGTAGCTTCTCAGTGGTGACTTCATACGTCTTCCTGCCTGCCTCAGCTTTCTTTAGCTGACACACCAACACGGCCAGCTTCTTCTGGGCAAGGCTGGGGTTTGTAGGAGGCACGCCATCCTGGGGGATAACAGGTATCAGTGGACAGTGAGGCAGTGAGGTAATCTTTATCCAAGTTGGCAAATATTTCAACCATATTGTTACATGACAAATATTTGTTTTCTAAAAATAAATCATCAAAGGACAGTATATTATTAGGAACATATCACAGAGTACAATATTAAAGTCTAGTTCAAAACAAATCAGAGTGACATGTAGAGTACCCATATCTTTCGGAACATCAAGGTCAAGGTGACCTGTAGATTACCCCTTTCATCCATGACAGCATGGTGAGAATGACATGTGCATTACCCTCTTGTATTGTATCGCATCGGTTATTATTTGCTTTAACTGATGAACACATTTAAAGCAGGTCTCCATAGGAAGGAAACTAACCCTGTTTCTTTTCCATTTTATCCAACTACAAGTTGTATTCCGACTTTGGCCTTTCTCTGTGATTAAATAATGTAATGTGACACAATAATCCACCTTAACTGCTTTTGTTTCACCCTTTATGTATCATTCTTACAATCTTATTGATACAGACTTGTTTATCTCAATTACAGAAAGCGTAAATATTTCTGAAGCATCATTTAATAAAACAAAGACCAGTGTATAACATAATTTTCAAATATGGCCTGTCCAAGGACTGGCTGTCCAAAAAAGTCACCAATCCTGAACAAACACAGCCAGTCCCAAAAACAAAAACAATGAAAAATAATAGATAATACGAAGTTCAAACCAAGTTAAGTTTATTTTTTCAAATATTTCCCCAACCAAAGGACGGCCTTACTTATTTAATAGACCATCTTTCACAACAAATAGACCCGTCAAGGAAGGTGGGATGGGCTATGTTTTATACACTGCAAAGACTGCAAATCCAGTACATAAGTAAAAATACAGTTACAAGACTGACTGACTGACTGAGTTTGGTTTTACGCTGCTTTTAGCAATATTCCAGCAATATCACGGCGGGGGACACCAGAAATGGGCTTTACTCATTGTACCCATGTGGGGATTCGAACCTGGGTCTTCAACGTGACGAGCCAACGCTTTAACCACTAGACTACCCCACCGCCCCACAGTTACAAGAGTGTTATAACTGGGTTGTAATGCCTGATGATGAATCCATTATGGGAACATTGGGGGATGACTTACTGTCTTCACAAGTTGCACCCGGAGCTGTGCTATCTCGTTCTCCAGGAGTGCCACCACTTCCTCGTAGTCCTCTTCCATGGTGCGTGCCGCCAGCTGGGCCTGCTCAGCCAGGTGGAGCTTGCTACGGAGGGACCGGACCTCCTCAAAGGCATCCTGGGCCTCCTGGTTGGGAACAGTGAGAGAGTGAGTGAGTGAGTAAGTGAGTGGTTGAGTGGGTGGTTGAGTGAGTGGTTGAGTGAGTGATCAAAGGAGTAAGTGAGGGAGGGTGGGAGTGAGGGAGGGTGGAAGTGAGGGAAAGAAGGATGGAGAGTGACTGATTATGGTTTTTACAAGACAAATCGTATGGATAACAACTTCTAGAATAACGTTTCTGGGCTAGTTCTTGCTCCTTCGAAGGGGAAGACGAAGGAGAAAGAACTAGCCCAGAAACGTTGTGAAAAATAAATCAAGAAGTTGTTATCCATAAGATTTGTCTTGTATTACTACACCAACTTCTAAATGCCTTTGAAGAATTTGATTATGATTTTATTTGAACATCTGAGTAAAAGATCTGATTTTGATGAGACTAGATGCATGTATGTACTTTCTATTCAATTTCACTCAATACAATAAATTTAATAAAATATATCATACTTATAGGGAACATGAAAACCTTCAGTTTAGAGGGTCTCACCTATTGATGGATGATCATCTACTTAATAATAATAATAATTGATTTATAGAGCGCCTATTTCCAAAAGATATTGCTCAATTGCGCTATAAAGAGAAAAGATTGTAGACAATGTCTATGGAAAAGAGAGTTTGAAAAGATGAGTTTTGAGGGCAGTTTTGAAAGCGTCAGCAGATTCTATTTCTTTTAGGGCGAGTGGTAGAATGTTCCAGAGATAGGGGGCTGCAGCAGAGAATGCTCTTGATCCCATGGCTGTTTTGACGTGAGGCTGTGTAAGCAGTATGGAGGTTGACGAGCGGAGCAATCGGCTTGGAACATGGAGATGAATGAGGCTTTTAAGATATTGAGAAAACATGTTTTCATAGATGCAGTTGTGTGTAAGAAGTTTGTATTGAATTCTGCTTGATACAGGAAGCCAGTGAAGAGTTTGGAGGATAGGTGTCACAGTTTGGTAGCGTGGTGCACGGGCAACAACACGGGCGGCTGAATTCTGAATCCGTTGGAGTTGTGAAAGGAGCTGTTGAGAAAGTTGTAATAGAGGGAGTTGCAGTAATCAAGTTTAGAGAGAACAAGGCTGGTCGTTAGAAGCTGGGCGGTGTTGAAGTCTAAGAGGGTTCAGATCTTGCTAATATTGAAGATATGGTAGCAGCATTCTTTGCTGAGTGATTTGATTTGATTTTCTAATGACATTGTTGATTGAAAGATGACACCAAGATTTTTTGCAGAGTTGGACTGTGTGATAACATCTTGTCCATTTTCAAGAGATAAACTGTCAGGCTCTTTGGAAAGTTGATGCCTGGATCCAATGGTCAAGAACTCAGTCTTGGTGTCACTTAGAGTGATATAAATCTCATATCATACCCGACGGATTTTATGTAGTTCCTCTTCTCTTCTGAAACAGATTCTGTCCTTCTCTCGAACTAGTTCCTGGAATATGTCATCCATTTGAGTAAAACAAATATTACAGTTGATTCAAGCAGAAGTATCAATTGCAAACACTACAACAAACATAACTGAAAATATCAATTGAATGGTGAACATATCAAGAGTTACTCCCCTTTTCAAACTCAATGATAATGACAATGACAGTCCTTGAAGTTTGTTTTTTTCTAACATGCTTCCTTATTCCTTATCAATAGAAACAAGACAGTGTATCAGACCCAACTCGTTCACAAAAGCAGACTCTTCACAACATCTGTCTAACTTCTCTGCAGAGGGAACGTTCCTTGATTGCACAAGTCAAGTATGGTGATTGAAGTCAAGTATGGTGATTGAAGGTAAAGCCAGAACAGAAAGAATTTAATTACATATGATCTTTCAAAAGGCTTCTCCACGATAATACAAAACTCAATACTTACCCTTAGCTTTTGAACTTCAAGCCTCAACTGGTTTCTCTCATTCCACAAGCTTTCCTACAGACAGAAACAGATGTCACAAACAGGATGTTAGCCTATACACAGCTACAGGTGTGTCTACATCGAAACTCATCCTTACATCAGCCAACAAGTCAGATGCACTTAAGCAGGAATGACATTCATTTGTTATGGTCATTGTTATAGGTCCACATTTATTTCACAGTAACTGTAATCTTACCATTTACACTAGTTATTGAATTCTATTTAATTGAAGCCATTCTTTTACGACTTACATGTTAAGAATTATTTGTTCAGCAAATACTTTACAGTATAAAGAGATAGCAAAGTTCTGCCAATACAAATTGCCATTATATATGTTTAACATTAAAATAAGGCTAATAGTCAATAAATTCAGCCTTGTCAGTACAGAACCACTATGAATACCCTGTGGCCACTGTGGCCACTGAAATCTCATTTAGATTCCCACTCATTAACAGAACACAGGGTAACAACAATGTCTAGTTTTAATCCTAACAAAAGATGAGTGGCCAGTTACTATGTGTGTGAGAGAGTAAATACTGTGTTACGATGCAGTCAGTGCTCTTCAAGCTACATCATAGCAGATACAGTTTAGTGAGTGAGTGAGTGAGTATGGTTTTACGCCGCTTTAGCAATATTCCAGCAATATCACGGCGGGGTACACCAGAAATGGGCTTCACACATTGTGCCCATGTGGGGATTCGAACCCGGGTCTTCGGCGTGACGTGCAGACGCTTTAACCACTAGGCTACCCCACCGCCCCAGATACAGTTTAGATTATCACAGACAGTATACATGGAGTTTTCTTGGTGTATCACCTGGTCCAGCACTTCCTCCTCCTCCTCATACTCCCACGACTGATCCTGTGATGGTGTTGTTGGCCAGGCAACTTGGCGACCCTTTAAGTGGGCTTGAAACACCTGCTTGGCTGCCTTTACAAAAGCTGCAATGAAATACCAAAACTTGAAACTCTTTTTAGCTAATAATAGCCAATAATGAGGTATAGTTTTGCCACGCTTAGCAACAATGCAGCTGTAAGATGGAGGTCTGTATGTAATAGTGTCTGGGCCAGACAAACCCAGTGATTGACATCATGAGCATCAATCTACACATTTGGAATACGATGACACGCATCACTGAGTCAGAGAGGCTGACCATCACATCCCATCCCAGTGAGTGAGTGAGTTGAGTTTTACGTCCCACTCAGCAAAATTCCAGCCATATGGTGGCGGTCTGTAAATAATCGAGTCTGGACCAGACAATCCAGTGATCAACAGCATGAGCATCGATATGCGCAATTGGGAACCGATGACATGTTTCAACCAAGTCAGTGAGCCTGACCACCCGATCCCGTTAGTCGCATCTTACGACAAGCATGGGTTACTGAAGATCAATATTCTAACCCGGACCTTCCCGGGTACCATCCCATTACAGCAAACTACTGTTACAATGAACTCATTACGAACTAAGAAGCAAACTGTGGAGCAAAATGTTTTGGGACAAAGCTGTAGGAGCACCAATGATACATCAGGTACGAATACAAGAGCATCTATTCTTTGCATTAATTCTTCAGGTTCTTCATTTGTCCACAGATCTTGGAGTCACCTACCTCCGTACTCCACCTGGCCTTCGTCATCGATGTCCAGCATCTTGTGCAGCTCCTCCTGCTGATCAGCACTTGGTTCGAGGCCCAGGTACCGCAGCGTCTGCAATCAAACATCACTACCTCAGTTTGGAACAAACGTGTCAGTGAAATCTCTTGTCAAACAATAATCAAGTCTGGACCAGTGAGGTAGCCTAGTGGTTAAAGTGTTCACATGTCGATTCCCAACATGGGTAAAATGTGAATTCTGAATTCCAGATGGAATCAAAAAAAATAAAAATACTAGCATATGTAAGTTACTGAAAAAGTGTAATCCCAAATATAACATGTATATAACATGTGGTCACGGTGTACTATATTGGCATCTATTTGTCCATTGCCCGTCCTACTGTTTCAGTTAATTGTCCATCTTTGATATCTCATCAATTTTGGGGCGGTGGGGTAGCCTAGTGGTTAAAGTGTTGGCTCGTCACACCGAAGACCCGGGTTCGAATCCCCACATGGGTACAATGTGTGAAGCCCATTTCTGGTGTCCCCCGCCGTGATGTTGCTGGAATATTGCTAAAAGCGGCGTAAAACCAAACTCAGTCAGTCAGTCAGTCTTATCAATTTTGTTGTTTCTCATGTACATAAAGCTATCTGCTTATAGCTTTCATATGCTTGATGAAGGAGTAAGAATATACTCCAACAGTCTGCTTACCACTTCCAGCTTCTCGACCTTGACCTTGGAGTGAGGATCGATGGAGATCTTCCTGGAGATCCTGGCCCCTCCTCCTCTTGGAGAGCTGCCGATGCTACGGGGGGAGTATGTATCAAGAGGAGGAGGGGTGGTGGCTGAGGAGATTTGGACAGGACTAGTAGAGAGGTCACTATCATTCAGTCCATGATCTGCAAAAACCAAAAGAGAAACCTCTGGTAAAGAGATGTGCGCACATGTAGCAGACTCCAGTGCTCAAAGTTAAGAGAAAAAAAATCAGGATTCTTGCCACCGTCATAATGTTACAATCAAGGTGTAATTGGCTTCAATTCAAATACAGGAATTACATCAAAAAACTTTTACATGTGTAACACGGCTGTCTTTTTGTTGAATCTCTTGTAGTGGTCGTCAGATTAATTGAAATAATCAAAGAATGGTCGCAGTGACTAAACGACTAATCAATCGATCATGTTTTCTCATAATCGAACACAAACAATTCTGGAACACTTTTTGCATTAACAATAGTTTACACAAGGTTGGATTTGTCTGTTACATTTCATACATTTCCAAGTCATGATTGAATTTATCTTAAAGACTCCCATCCTCGATAATCTCCAGGGTATACGTTACGATCACTCTCCACTATACCCTCGATGCATCCATGGCTTGGCCCGATTATTTTATTACCTCCCTTGGCTGGCTTTTTATCCAATCAGGTGTCTACGCTGGGAAGTTGAGCGAACCAATCACAACTCACTTTCGCATCTTAAATTATCTAACCTTTTAAACTTGGCAACACATTTGATACAGAGGTACTCTGAAAGAGGTAGAAGGAGTTCTTTTATATAATTTTCAGATCTGTCAATTTGTTTGTATTATTTCCCCCAAAACTCTGAATGGCACTGCGAACAAACCTTCGAGACTGCGACCGCTATCTTTGTTGACACTGGCAAGCTCGGATGTAACGGCGGCTTATCTGATTGGCTACTGTGAGAATGCGGAGCCAGCAAAGGGAGGTAATATAATCATCGGGCCAAACCGTGGATGCATCCAGGGTATAGTGGAGAGTTATCGTAACGTATACCCTGGAGGTTATTGAGGATGAAAGACTTTATGAAATTTATGTTCCTAACATACTAGTCATCCTTTAAAGATGTCAAATTTGCCGAAAAATAGAACTACATGATTTTTTCTTTCTGTTTTTGTGCAAACAAAAATAATCAAGAAAATTTCATAAATGGCGCTAACCAATTATTTTCGATGATTGATTGGTTGTAATAAACCAATCATTAATTATGAGATTTTAACCAATTCCCAACACTAATCTCTTGTGTCATCATAATAATTCAGCTGATGTCTTAATATAAAGCAAAGCCAGTTCTCAAAATGGGAAATTTCAAAAACAGAACCCCTTTCCTGAATGTTTTGAAAGTTACTAATTCAAAACAAACATCATACTTAGACACACAGGTGTGTCATCTCAGATACAGAAAACAGCATTGCTTTAAAATGGACACCCACTGAGGTGAGCACATCTGTAGCATGCCTGTTTTAAAACACCACATTCTGCTATATTCCATTCATATAATGGCAGTGCTGACAGTGAGGGGGTCGAACTGAGCATGTCATGGACATACCTTTAGACATGTATGGGGTGGACGTGAGAATATCGGGACTGTTCCTGGCTTCTGCCTGGCGAAACTCAGTTGGTTCATGGAGGCTGTATAATCACCCTTGGATGCCTTCAATACAAGTGAGAAAATATCTTATGATCACATTTGCAGAGGATTGAAGAGCACAAACAACTAACATCTTCAAGTAACAATAGCCATTGTATCTTTACAAAAACAGAATACAGATGCACTGCATTTAAATACATGTTAGTTAATCCTTCTGATAGACTGACATGATGTTAAAGGCCTCCCAGCATAGAATACACCAAGTTACCTCAAAGGAATCATTTGGATGCTCTACTGGAATACCCTCAGGTGCAAGAGAATCTGAAACATTGCAGTAAGTATTAACAAGTATGAATATTCATTTAGCACCATCAAAGCAGCCTATATATGGAGACAACTGACAAATGAACAACTACTGACGCCATCAGCATGGTGACATCATATCAACCACAGAGTATAGGTTAAAGAGGACTGATTCTAACCCGGAAACACCACAGATGGAGGGTGACTATTGTCTTATACCAAATTTAGCAGCAAGCCAGGTATATAACATAACAGAACTCCACAAATAGAGAGCGAGTGTTTTACACCACCATTACAATATTCCAGCAATATCACTGCACATGTATTGAATGTGGACATTAAGCATGACAGGCAAACACTATCACCACAAGGTTATGCAACAGTGTCGGGGTTCAGGGGCACGTAACTCTCTCAGAATCCAATAACTAACTGTTTCAGTACCTTTCTGAATTCTTGATAATTCCTCCGCCCCTGCACCACCATTAGCAAAGGAGGCATCAGCAACGACTGAACTGCGACCACTGTGCTTTCCTGAATACAATCCATACTCTTCTCTGTAAAGGATAATATGAAAATACGTATTTATAGATTAGCTGTACTTGTATTTTCGAACCTAAGTTAAAGTAAAACATAAAATTCTTTCATCATTATCTGTGTCTGAGAGTTTTTGGTGGCTTTCGGTTTCAATGCTGATGTACGTCAAGCTATAACAGTGTTCACAAATAGTGTCTGACCCTCTGACAAATCTGGCAGATTCGCCAACGGTCCGATAGAAGTCTACAACCAGCCGGCCCCAGTGTCTGACTGTATATTTCACAATGACTTTGGCTGAATTTGTTATGTAAGACATGTGCCACTTGTTTGCTGTTTATAAATCTTATGTTTGTTGCCAATTATAAGGAATACTAGTATTATATCTGAAATGTGTGTTTAATTTTATTCTGAGAGTCCTGTGCATTTTCAATGGGTGAGACAGACATCTGAAACTTACAGGACCCAATGTCCTGTTACTTTGAAACACCATTCGTGAACACTGCTATAACAATGTTAAAAGTCTACCACCATTAATGTAGGTGTTACCCTGGAAGAAATATAACAGTTTTGTCATTATACAGCACTTAATAGAGATTATTACAAGAGCAAGTGTGTCATACGACTTGTACGAAACGGCTGTCAAATTTTGTATTGACAATATCAACAACTAGGCTAGGCTCACTGATTATGTTTTACTCTGTGAGAAATTACAAAACAGTGAGTGACATGTATAAGAAAGTCCTAAACATCTTTTGGAAGGATGGCTTCATGTCCATTAAACTGGCAATGGCTTTTGTTTCTAGGAAGTCCAAGTTACCTCCCTTACCCATATCTGTTCTCCCATCTCAACACATGATTGGCAAAATGTGAATGTAAATCAAGGTAATTCACAATAGATGGAACCACAGGAATAGTTCCAGGGTATAGTGGAGGTTTACTGAAATGCTTGTCCTGGGGACACAGAAGATGATCTGCCACATTTCACTCACAAAGATTTGGAGAGCCCTTGGAATTTAAGTGTGGAGACAAGACTACCACTATTGATTCATCTTTTAACCCAGTCAATGTACGTCATTTCAACATGAGCAGTAATGTTTGCCTCCTTCGCTCTAATTCAAACTGACAACATTCTATTCAAATTCTCAATCCCCAGGTGTATCAACTTTAGTGGTGGTCCGATTAATTGAAATAATCGAAGATTGGTCGCAGTGACTAAGCAACCAAGCAATCGAACATGTTTTTTCGTGATCGAACACGACAAATATTGGAACACTTGTTTGCATTAACAATATTTTTCACAAGGCTGGTTTTGTCTGTGTCATTAAATTTACATTTCATAAGCACTACAAGCTCGTTCCAAGTTATGATTTAATTTATCTTAAAGAATCCAGGAAATACGTGTTCCTAACATACTAATCATCATTTAAATATGCAAAATTTGCAAATGGACTTCAAGCAATTTGCAAAAAACCTAAATTACTACATGTTTTTTCTTTATTTTTTTGTGTGCATTAACAAAAAATAACAGGGACATTTAATAAATGATGCTAACCAATTATTTTCGATGATTGATAGGTTGTAATGGACCAATCATCAATTATTAGATTTCAACCAATTCCCAACACTAATCTACTTGGTATCAGCATGCTTATGATGTTGTCAGTGATGAATTTAGTTATATAACACTTATGATTTGCTTCTAATACAATGGATTTTGAGCCCTGATGATATGAACCACTTACTTGACTACAGCTTCACACAATATCAACAATACAATTTATACAAGTATGTGGCAGGACAAGGAGAAAATGGAAAACAACCTATTTATTACACAATGTTTCAGGGCTCTGACGAAGGGGAAAGAATCACCCCTAAACTGCTGAGTATGTAACAAGAAACTGCTATCTGTAAAACGCCTTATCATGAGTACATCCAATTACTTGAGTGGGTGAGTGGGTATGGTTTTACGCCGCTTTTAGCAATATTCCAGATATATCACGGTGGAAACACCAGAAATGGGCTTCACACTGTGCCAATGTGGAGAATCGAACCCAGTCCTTCAGTGTCACGAGTGGATACTTTAACCATTAGGCTACCCCACCACCTCCAAAAAGGATCACAGTAGGGATTAATTACACTTTTCACTATTTCTTCATATCTACCACGCTTTTGATTCTTTCATTTCAGGGGTAACACAGCAGGCTAAAATTAACTTTACCTTGACTGCTCGTCCCGTGTGAATATCATTTCAACTCGGTTTGAAGCGGCAGCATGTCTCAGAATGGCCAGAGCTGTATCATTAGTGACACCCTCTAGACTTTCTCCATTCACTGTCAACAGCTGATCCCCTTCTTGCAAACTGCCTACAAACAGTCATAAGCTATCTATATTTTTTTCAGACACTACTTTTTCCATTGTTGCTCTGATTATTCCAGTTTTATTAAGCTTCTTAGAAAATCTGACAATTATATGATTAATTGTTTTTCCTTATTTGAATGTTTCATCAGCATTTCCGTTGCTTATCATATTTTCACCTAATGACATACAAAAGTATGACATTTGCATTACAAATATATATGAATATATAGATTTTATAAAAGTCATAAAAGCTATATGATGGAACACCTTAAATTCTTTTTAGAAAATCTTTGCAGTGTTTACCAGTCATACACAGTAATATATAGTTAAACAGTTCTATATCACCGACTTAAAATACAAGCACCTTTAGACTTACCATCAATTTCCGCCAAGCCTCCACGTAAAATCCTCTTCACAAAGATGCCAAACAACTCGGTACCATCAGGGCTGCATCCTCCACAGATCTTGAGACCTGATTGCCATGGAACAATTACTACTTGAAACACTCAAGATTATGCCAGATCAATATGTAGAGTTACCTCCCTTCCCTCAATGATCTTTGGGTTAAACATGCTATTAGTTCTTAGAGAAACAATACCAACTGTTATTTTAGTCCAACTTTGTGCAATTTGGATCTGTAACGCAAGGATTAAGAAAAGGCACATGAGTATGTGAGATATATTTGCATAGTTTGAGAAGTTACATCAGCCTCATAATGGAGAGATGCCTTGGGTTATAGATGGTGAACTGATGTATAACTGGTTATGTAATAAAACGACCAATAGACCAGTTGACTATCTTAATAATCTTGCCTCCTTCATCTTGGTCTGTGGGCTGGCAGGGGCAGTGTGGGAGTCAAGTAGTTGAAAGCATTCGCTTGTCACGCTAAAGACCTGGGTTCGATTCCCAATCTGGGTACAATGTCTGAAGCCCATTTCTGGTGTCCCCTTCCATGATATTGTCGAAATATTACTAAAATCAGTGCAATACTAAACTCACTCACCCATGAGCTGTTTAACCCATAAAGATTTGGGTTAGAATTGGTCTTCAGCTTTTAAGGCAGTGACTAACAGGATTCGGAGGTCAGACTCGCTAACTCGGTGATGCAAATCATCATATTCCAGTTGCATAGATCTATGCTTATAATGTCAGTCACAGGATTGGCATGATTACTTCAAGACTGTCATCATACAGCTGGCATATTGCTGAGTGTGGGGTTAAACAACAAACAATCAACATCGGTTTGAAACAGGGATCTTCTATTCCAGGATGGATGACTCACAGCTTTGCTGGTCAAAATGTGAAATGAATGGCTGTCAACTTTTTATGCACAGATTTAAAGCAGTGATGGAAATTGTGCTTGATCTCTGAGCCATGGCACAGAAAATAATTAAATGGCACACATGACATATTTTCTCAGTGCCATGGTGGCACACCTAAAATTATATATAAAATACGCACCATGATTAATTTATTTAAAATGCAATACATTTGATCCATTCAAATGATTGAAAACCAGTTTTTGCACCTCATGAAATTTTTATTGGTGGCACACTCAACCTCGCACTCTTATTTTCACAAAGGCAAACCTAAATTATCTACCTTGTGCCCTATGCCACCCTTTGAAAAAATGCTTTTCTGACCATGTAAATGAATAGATATTGGATATCATGTCTTTATATAAATTTAATCCAGATCAACCATCATATTGTCATTCAACTGCCAATGGTATGTTCTAAGGAGTGAAAGACTTAAGACATCTTCGCAAAATTTGATCAAGAACATATCTAACTTATATGTTTGAGTTATTCTTCTGGAAACAAACAGAAGCTGAGTGAAACCCCAGTTGATCCAAAGTCAAATTGGTTTCTGCAGAAACCAAAAAAACAGAATTAACAAATATTCACTAAATAACTAAAGGCACCACTTCATGGCTAGATTGACATCTGTGAAACTTCAGACAGAACTGGACAGACAGAAAACTATTCAAACCTGAATGCAAGACTTACATGCAGAGGGCGTATCCACAATTACCAACATGCCTTACATTTGCTATGACCATCTATCTGTGTATCACATTCAGACAAAATGATGATTCAAGTATTGTCTATACTGATAACATCATAGGTATCAGTGAACCATTACTGCTGCTCTGTCTACTAACTCCAAATTCATTATACACACCAACTAACAGTTACTGATTTCTCAACCTCCGAAATAAGTCTAAGTTTCACACCTGTCACTAATTATGTGTCTCCACCTGGATTAACGTTTACACTAGTACACAGAGTAGAGTCTCTTTAAAGGGGCACAAAGCTAGAGTTTATTTTGGAAGTCCCAGATTGATTCAAGTCATCAAAACATTATTTGTTGGTCTGCCACATCCATGATGTCTATCAACCTAGCAGGCCTGAATGGTATACCAGTATATGAATGCATATCACAACAAATACACTATGAGGCAGTTATGATATAAATCATATATATGGTGTAATGAATAAGAACCTCTATTTCCTAATACAATATTGAGCCCGAAGTTGATGTATTATACTATGTTATTTGACCATGTTAACAGTGTTAACTTAGCATGACAATGTCATAATTTACAGCTTAATGATTTGGTTGACAGGAGCCTGGCAAAGCGACACAAGTTATGTGGTTCAGTTCATTGAATATGAGAGTGTATTGTAACAGCCGTAACATGTATGCAATATATGGAAACTGGGTCAACAAAATAAAACATGTGTCAATAATAGTATCAGTTTACCTAAAATCTACAGAGAAATTCATAAACAAATAATTTTTCCCATCAAAACCGATTGATGAAACAACAGAAATGTGGAGGTGATTTTTGTCTCATTTAGTATCCAAGACTAAAAAAATAGTGCCACTGACCATGCTGAGTAGTACATACATTAATATGTCAAAAATAGAATCTGTATCACAGTTAAATATTACAATACGCATCAAAATACACATACTTGTATGCCAATACACACCCCAATGTATTTGGTTTGTTTTGGTTGTTTAATGACGCACTCAGCAATATTCCAGCTATATGGCGGCGGTCTGTAAATAATCAAGTCTGGACCAGACAATTCAGTGATCAACAGCATGAGCATCAACCTACGCAACTGGGATATGATGACATGTGTCAACCAAGTCAGTGAGCCTGACCACCCGATCAAGTTATCGCCTCTTACGACAAGCACGAGTAAGCCAATGTAACAGGTCCTGAATACCATTTGTACATGAGAGTGTTTCAATTTCAGACAAGCACTAACTGCATCATCTTGAGTTGGAATAAAATGGCAACAGACAATGGCCAGCGTTACTTTGTAACAGCCACGTTACTTACCTAATCCATGAGAACAGTCAGTAAAAACAACCAGTTCTGCTTCTCGTATATCTTCATCTTCTTCAACTCTGTAAAATAAAGGAATGTAAATTGTAAACTGCAGTAACACCCCTACAAAAAGGTACACAATACAAATAAAAACATGAGATTTTCCATTATGTTCAATATATTTGTACTCCCTCAGGTCCAGTAAGATTAAAATGATTAAACCGTCCTTGTGTAGCAGAGTGTTGACTTGGCTAACTTGTCTGATAGGCAAGCGAGCAATTTTAATTTTATGCCGCTTTTAGCAATATTCCAGCAATATCACGGCGGGGGACACCAGAAATGGGCTTCACACATTGTACCCATGTCGGGAATCGAACCCAGGTCTTCAGCTTGACAAGCGAACGCTTTAACCACTAGGCTACCCAACCACCCTTTGTAGGCAAGACATTTTGTAGCCAATGAAGTGATTTTAGTACAAGCTGGATGTGTTCATTAGGCTTAACCTTAGTACATGTAATTATCCCTGCAGCTGTGTTCTGCAATCTTTGTAGTCTGTGAAGTTGATCCTTAGAATGCCATTGTGGAGTCTGTTGCAGTATTCCAGGTAAGAAAGAATAAGTACATGAATGAGTGCTGCAGTGCCACTTCTAGTAATAATGATAATAATGATGAGTATTTATAAAGCGCTGTATCCATCCACAAGGTAGTAAGAAAATGCAGAATAGAACCAATGCTACTGAAGTGGAAGTGGGATTGAAATATCTTGAGGGTTCACTCCAACGTGTGGATGAGGCTGCTATTTTGAATGTAGAGGTGTGAGTTTAAATGGTTGTTGATTTCAAGCTTTCTGGCAGTAGATGTACAGTACTGCATTTGAGATTGTACTGATGGAGGCTGTCACATCTTACACTGGAAAAATGTGGATGCTGACATTCTTGCCTGAAGCTAAAGAGTGACTTGGGTTTAACAATCTTTGGAAATTTATATTGCATTTATACCAAATCATGTCGCCACCAAAGTTATAAGGATGGTACACCACCATTGGGGTATGATAACAAACGATTGGTCAAGAAACTGAACATGACAACACAACTCATTTAGGTGCTATTCACAACCAACATAAGTTACTGGGGACCTGTTCTAAGGATGCAGTAAAAGCTCTAGGTTAGTGTTGACTTCAGTAACCCATACTTGTCACATATAAGAGGATTGGACAGACAGGCTTGCTGACTTCATTGATGCAAGCCATCATACCTAAAATACATGTGATGTTAATCAACAGATTGTCTGATCCAGACATGATTATTTATAAACTGCATCATATAGCTGGAATGGTGTTGAGGGTGGCAAAAACAAACAAATCTAACCTAAAATTGGTTATACTAGTAAGATAAGAATCGAAGGACAAAGACGCCTGTACAGAAAGTGTTTCTCCCACAATACTCACTGATCCACTGGCAGGTCCAGCGTCTTCTGTTCAGACATCCTGGATTCAGCAGTAGTCAGTGATGTAGACATGCTGGATATATCTGACAAAATCAACTTCGCCTTTGAAATATCCAACGTGATTACATTTTTCAAATTGGTAAAACATTCAAACATCAAGAGATTTTGTCATTTTATCCAATCAAAATCTTGAGTTAGTTGTGCTTAATGTTGGTCTGAGTGAGTGAGAGAGCTGTGTTAATTTCGAAGTGAATAGTATTCCAGTTACATCATGCCAGCTTAATGTCAGGTGGAAAGCCCCATGTGATACCACTTTGGTAAAACTGACAAACCTAGGAACATACATCCTGATCCACAAAGCGTTCATAACTCTATAGTTATCATAGGCTTGCGAATGTTGTAGCACTAAGAACATTCGTGGATCAAGACCCTGGAGTGCCCAAGGGATGTAACTCAGCACAGCTAATTGTGGTACCTTAAACCAATAGGTCATCAGTGCCCGAAAAAAAAATTATACACTGAGTGACAGACTATAACTTAAAGTTCTGACCTTAGACTCTGCCTCTATTGTGTCAAATCAAAATTTGAGAAAGAAAACTGATAGAAAAATGTTCTGTTTGATAATATGTATACTGAAAGCCATTAAAATGCAATTGGTATTTGTTTTTTCCTGCGATACAGAGGATGTAGGGATAAAAGGCTGTTATTCTGGACCATTTCGAGTTCGAGTCCCGGAGCATTCCTCTCACATGAACTTTGATACTTAAAACTGAACCTTTGACATTTCTCGTAAACACAACCACATTCATGAAACACGTTGTGCACATGCATTACCTGCACCCAGGCCCTGTAAAAGCACAAGGAATTGTGGATCTCAATCACTTTGAGAAAAAGCCACACTTGACACAAGACGAAAGGAATCAGGTTATCGGTATGGTCAGCCAAGGTGCTTCAGATGTGATGATTGCCAGGCACTTTAATGTGCATCCATCCACTGTAAGTCGACTCAGACAACGTTTTCGGGCTACCGGAAGTGTTGCTGATCGTCTGCGAACTGGTGCACCACCTGTGATAACAGCTTGACAAAACCGCAATATCCGAGTTTCACACTTGGTTCCAAACAGCTGATGATTAGGCAAGGAGGACAATTGGGACAAGTCAACGTCATTTCAGCGCCCAAAAGGTGCAAGGACGCCTTGCTGCCTTCAACATCCGGTGTCGTCACCCGTACCGTGATCCAACCTTATTGCATCGCCACAGACTTGCCAGACAGCGATGGGCAGCAAATGGGGCCAATCTTGGCAACAGGACATGGCCAGATGTCATTTTATCAGATGAATCCAGGTTTAACTTATCCTTTGCAGATGGATGTCAACAGATTTATCGACGTAAAGGAGAAAGACTTGTGCCAAACTGTGTCCTTGAACATGATTGTTTTGGAGGGGGTGGTGTCATGATCAGACCACAGACCATCAGGGGCTGCAGACCATCCAACAGCTGTTCCTGAGAAATGTGTGTCTTTCAATGCCCCAAAGACTGCGAGCATGTCTTGCAGCGCACGGTGGACACACACGATATTGACTGCAAGTGACCCCGCCTTTGTGTGATGTTGTTGTTGCGTCACTGATGTTGTTGTTGACTGGACATTTTCAGATGAAATTATTCACAGATGTTCACTTAAAACATATCTGTCAGTTAGGTTTATATATGTTGAAATTAGTATGAGTAAAGAAAGTATGAATGTCAAATTGCATTTTTAATGGCTTTCAGTATAGTTTGTACCTAAATCTTTCAGTTTGGAAGCCTGTGGTCCACTGGAGTGATTGCGAATGTAAAACTGGTTCATGTTTTCCCATGCGCTTCAACTTGTGAGTATATATTACTTTATTTGAATCCTCGCTAAAATATACGATCTCACTTTTTAGTTTAAAAACAATTTTAATTATTTAGATGGGGAAAACATTCACTGGCCACCACGACCACTGCAAACTTATCATTTAGTGGTCCTGATGAATTTTTACTAGTAATGGACCTCAGGACCAGTGTAAAGTTCGCACATTGGTGTCCCCTGCTGTGATACAACTAAAAGCGGCAAAACATAAAACCCAATCCAAGTCACTCAGATACTGGTCTGAAACTTGAGTCTACTGAAATTCTGTTTAGTCTAGTAAGTAAGATAACTCTGGAAACCATATAGAAAAACATCCAGTTAACTAACACTCCACACAGTAACACTGTATTCCACTGAAAGTGATGCTGAGAGACACGTTCTGGGTAATAGTCTAAAAAACATCTTAACAAGCACTGATCTTACTGGACATAAGCTAAACTCTGAAGAATAAACTTTGCTGGCATTAAAATGGGATTCTTATTTAAATATCAAACTGTAGGTACCACAAGAATCAGCATGGTGGGCATGGAAACTGGTGGCACTGGAGACATAAATAGTAAAACAGACCAAATGGACAACTATTAACAGTTTACACAACAAATACACGTTTTACTAGATTCAGATACCAGATGACCTGTGGCGAAAGTTACAAAGCATTACTTTTACCATAAAGTAAATTGCGACCATGGGAGATCATTTATGTAGGACGTTAAATTCCCTAACAGTCCACATGGCTTCAATAACAGTCTTGGATCTGACAGTAGTATAGTTGCATGTTGCCACCACAACACAACACAAAATGATTTTATCTATTCACAGGTGAAACTTATGAAGGACTGATGATGTCTGTTGTACAGTTAAAATTTTGAATCTCGTCACATTAAAATGGTGGTATAAGAAGACCAGTGTGGAATGTGCAAAAATATAGTAAGTATATCTTTTCCCTGCAATGCAATAACAATGTTTCAGAGGCGATTTACCTATTTGTCTATTTGATATAATATTTAATCTTTACCTTCAGCTTGCAAAAATATATCATTTTGTGTTGCATTATATAACATCAATGCTTGATAATAATTATGTTTCGATCTAGAGGTGGTGCATTAACCGTTACTGGCGTTAGAAATGGGTAGGAATGTGTCAGTTCGACACAAATATTTTGTTCCATTAGAACTGCATTTTCATTTTCTTTGCAGATGTAATTGAAATAACAATCGAGAAGGACGGTGTGATTTCGTAGTTGCAAAGTATTTCATTGTCACAGAAAGAAGCGCCATTGTCACATTTGCAAGCGCCATTGCTTCGAATTGGACTCCAGTGGAGTTGTTTACGTTTTGACACGACAAAACAAAAGAACTGAAAGACGGCAAGCAGCCGACGTAAGATTGGGGATGGTTTAATTGCTCCATTGGTTATGCATATTCATTGCCAATACCCATGTAAATTCGGGAGCTAAATCAGCTACCGCTTTGGTAATTGCCACTTACTAATTAACGCCAGATTAGTGTTTGCATTGTTAAATGGTTGATTATCCAGCTTCTGAACTTCTGAAGTTTCCTTAGCCTGCAACTTACATACTACTTTCTACTAGACATATTAACTATAATTCTGAAACGGAACGATGCAAAACTTGTAGTATAGAAAAGAAACTGAGAATCATAACTCAGTTAAACAAAATAGATTTCTGTTCAGTGATTTTAGAAATAAATAATAATTAGAAATAGATACTATTCAAACAGATACAAATGCGGCTATGTATTTATTAGCAGTTGTTCTCATTTAGCTTCTATCCAGAAGCCGGAAGTATTCCAGTGACGTAGATATCTGAACCCACAATCCATTGCCCACCGCCATAACAGCGAACACCAGAAACCTTTTCGGGCAAAAAGACTAATTACATTTCCCCTCTTCCCACTTGATCAAAAGATCAGGGTGCCTATTTCCATTGATAATTCGTTGGCTTAATGTTTCACAGACAGGATTAACCAAGTGAAAATGGTCCGCTTCGGCCCAGATCTACGAGGAAGGAATTTTTCATGGGTGTAGTCGGCTTGACACCTAGATGAAATTTCTTTAGTGTCATGTGTAAAAATTAATTTTCTTTATCTTTCACATCGTGTTCAGTGCTTTTTGTTTTCTGGGAAATTATTTGAAGACAATGGGCAGTCGACAAATACCCAACGATAAGGTATGTCGAAGAACTGATCGTATATATTGCATTGTTTGTTTTTGTCAACATCAAAATAAACCCTGACTTGCTTGCTGTCAGGTGCCTGTTTCTCATGATGTCAGTTTTGTTGGTGATGTTTAATAATGGCATGTGTATGTTGCTGTTTTTGAGGTGGTATGCTAAGCAAGTGTCAGTTGTGACGTTTATATTCAGTGTATCTCATAACTAATTATCATTAATTGATGCAAACATGTTTATGAGGAATATGGGTAGGAAGTCAGTGTGACTTCTAACTAAAATACCAGTTCGAACATAATCCCCTATATGATGTGTTTTGTTACAGTTGTTATGGTTATGGACAAAGCATGTATTGTGATTTACACAAACTCACGCTATGCTTGTAGTTATTTGTATTTGAAATAGTTTGTTTACAATCTGCCATATCTAGACTATCCTTCTGTATGATAGAATGTGTGTTTCTGTCAAAATGTAGCATACTACATGATACAGGATATGGGATTATGTGTCCAGTTTGGGGTTTGATCCTTGAAACATTTGTTTACATCATGTACTACTATCGTTCTTAAAAGAGATGATAGTGAATATATTATCTATCCTAACATGTACTGGAATGGTACATTCTTGTAAGCCATATGGAAATAAGCTATTTCCATTTGTTCTTATCAAGGGTTAATGTGTGAGAAGATCATAATCTAATGATGTTGTCCCATTATTCTAGAAACTTAGAGATACCTGTAAATGTTTAAACCATGTATCCATGGTAAATGCATGTCACCCATTAAGTGCTGATTTCAAAATGTGTTCAGGCCTGTGAAAAAATTCTGCTTATGCTCAACTAAGCCCTATATGAAGCAACTGAACAGTATGTCAAGCTTCAGTAACCTTTATGAAATATATATGCCTGGGGCTGGACACTCAGCATAATTCCAGCTAGGTCATGGCTATTGGGTTTGTGATATAACATCACTACAAAAAACTACTTGCCCTCTTGACTTTTCACTAATCATGCTAATTGAACCTGTGTCCAAATCAAACAATGAATAAATGGTCTTAATTCCGTTCAGCAGTGTACATTCTGTAACCATGGTATCATTACTAAACGTTTACAACTGGTGACATATTGATTTTAGGATCTGGTCATGTATGATAAAATACTAGAAAGAAGCAAAAGTGTAATTTGTTGGGGATTAATGAGTAGTCCACCTATCTTGTCTAGACAGTCAAATTAGAGTCATGTTGACATGAGAACATATGCAAGTACTATGAATACTAAACCTGTGTCAAACATGTCAGATAAGATGTCAACTAGTGGATTAAAGAGAAGTGTTATGGGATGTCATCAGTATGATGAGTGATTAAGTACGGATTTCTGCCAATGTTTAGAAATTGTCCATCATTTTCACTGCATGAGATGCCAGCAATGTGCTTCATGGAATGTACCTGAGCAGGGAATCACACCAAGTCTTCAATGTGTTAAGCAAACTTCAAAACACTAAGCTACAGCACCGTTGTGGTCAATGGTGTAAAGAATGATTGTCTTACTCTGTGAAATGAAAATAATTCAAGGATAAGATTATTAGATCATATTTATCATATATGGAATCTGGTCAATGGTGTAAAGAATGATTGTCTTACTCTGTGAAATGAAAATAATTCAAGGATAAGATTATTAGATCATATTTATCATATATGGAATCTGTGGCCTTTGAACTGTTACAGTAGACTTGCATAGGGTTCTTAGGATATTTTTGTTTCAGGGTACTAAAACAAAGATAGAGCTATTATACGAGTGATAATTTCCCAGTGTGGAATTGGGATGAGAATAGCTCCTCAGCAACATATGCCATTTTCCCAGTCAGAATTCCCGGTTGGAATAGGTCCCAAGTAGCCTTTTCTACCCATGGGGATTCTGGGCAAGAATAGATTTCCACCTACATGTGATAGTCACAGGAGGCAATTAAGTGGTTAAACTGGTTATTTACAGGCCAACCTTGTATGGCTGGAAGGTAGCCGAGTATAGCATTAAACAACATTAAACTTGTGATAATCATTTGTGATGTGTATTATATGGTGTTGCTTCATGGTGTTTCAGATAAACTTGCGGTTGATTCTTGTGAGTGGAAAAACAGAGGAGTACTTGTTCTCCCCGAGTGATTCAGCAGCAGAAATCACAGAACGTGTTTACAGCAACTGGCCTCAAGGTACACTGAATACTGTTGTTTGATTGTATATTCAAACATGCATTATTATGTGCTTACCTTCTCATTTGTGTACAAGTTGACTTGCGCTGGAGAGAGCAAACTGTCGGTTTGTTAGACTGTTACTGGGATTGTTAACCTAATATGGATGGAGTTACTCAAGACATGGTTCATGTTTTGTGTCATATCTAGCTTGTCATCAGGGTGTGAATGAGTGTGTTAATGTCAGGAGGTCCTGGGCCTCGTTCCTCAAAGCGATCATAGCGCTACGACTGTCCTAAGTCTGTGTTAAAGTAGGGAGTTATGATCGTCTTAGGGTTACGATCGTTTTGAGGAATGGGGCTTTGAAAATTAATGATAATGAGGAGGGATATTAAAAAAACGTTTAAGCCAACTAAATACACAACTGAAATATTATCATGAGCTTTATTTATTTTTCGAAAGGTCTCCCACATGTTTCTGTTGTACATTCTTCTAAACGAGTTGGCTATACATATGTACTCAGAAATAACTTAAAAATTTCAAAATTGTAAGAGTTATTGGTTTCTAGTAAGAGTTGTTTGATAACAATGGACGAATAGGAAACAAATTGCAATCAGTAATGCAGTATGAGATGTTCCGACTTCTATTCATGGTGAAGGACGATAACGATAAGGTGAGAAATATTAAAGCTGAGTCACTGAATTTGTACTTATTACCGCCACAAATTGTGAAACATTATTTCACTTATTGATTCATACTGTGTATGATTCTCCCAATGGTGATTTGCGAGAGTCATTCCTTGCAGCGTGGTCAGCCTATAGGGTCAGCTGAGTATGACGTTGACATATGTTGACCTATAATGTCCCAGATGTGTTTGATGGAGTAATGATCTGGGCTCATTGCTGACCATGGCATTCTATGGTTGTTCTGCCAGAGGTGAGCTTTGATGAATTCATGCGTGGTGAGAAAAGGCGTTGTTGGCCTAAAAAACACAGAGTGTCAGTATATTGTCTCGATTATACTGTTTAGTGATCATTCCTCTTACACTATGGAATGAATGAGTGATATTGATGCCACAACCTGCCATGTTGTCTCAGGTTGACATTGGCTATTTATTCAACTCAGTATCACCTGACACAACCATGCCAATCGAGGAAGTGCAAAGTGAACTGTGACTCATCTGAAAAGATGACACATGACTAGCCACAATTACCCCAGTTTCGATATTGTGTACACCTGACTTCTGTTGGCAATATGACTGTTTGTAGGATGGCACAACATGTGGCATTCAGGCATAAAAATGAGCTGCATGCAAATGATTTCTGATCTTCTTCCCCGTAACTCGTCTTCAGTAACCTGATTAATGTTTGCAGCAATTTGATTCACTGTTTGAGCTCGATTTTGTAGAACCTGAGTTCATATCATTTGATCCTGTACTCCATTAATTGGCCTAGGGAGCCCCGAATAGGGCTAAAGTACTGTCGGAAATAGAAAAAAACTGTTATTTCACATTTAAGACCCGGATCTAATCAATTTATGTGAAATATTTCTGTCCCCGCCGTGTGATGTTGCTGGAAGTTGCTAAAAGCCGTAAAACCAAACTCATCAGTCTCAGTGGTTCACATTACGCCTACAATTTAGGAAATAATGTTAAAAAGTTGGACTTATAGTCTCAGTGAAAATAGGGCAGGAAATGTAAAAATGGACTTTACTCAGGAAAATTAGTGCAGAAAGTCCAAATAGACTTATTTGGAACAGACCATGGCTTTATGCAAATTAGAGGGCAATGATATTGTATTACAAAGAACACTTTTTAAATACCCATTTTGAAATGAAACTTAGCTTCATTATGAACGATAGCGAACGTAAACAAAAATAATAACTTTAATACTGAAACTGTTAAGGATGTAGCTACCATGGAGTCTCACTATCACTATAAAAAAGAAACAGGTTGGAGGGGTCGTCTCAAAAAGCAAAACAAGGACAGGTGTCGGAGACGGTGGTTTGGGGTCGAGCTGGGGTATAGAGATATCAGCTAAGATAAGATGATCCTTCAGGGGAATTAAACTGGGGAAGTAAACGGCATGCCATAACAATTTACGGCCTACCTTTAGAATACAGCACCACAAACTTTAAAAATACGTCATAATACCCTTTTACGTAATGTAATGTGATTTTGTTCGAAAGCACGATCTAGAAACAATGCCCTATGACGCCTGCATGGCAACACGGTTGTCTGGCTCAGCGAGTGCGTATAAGCTCCGCTCACTGTCGTTTCATCTCTACGAGGCTATGTCATTGCATAAGGCCAACGATGTTGAGAGTTTCCAGTAGTTGTATATCGGCGGATGCTAATATTTTGCAAGCACCAGTTTGAAATATTTTTCTTTTTCACTAATCCGGCTCATATTTATTTGTATTACGGGCTGCTGGGGTGTTAAGTGTTGTGTATTTTGTAATTTGTAATTTTTAAATTTACATATATATTTTGTCATTCAGTAAGTTGCACCATTACACAGAAAAGTGTTTTATTAGTATTTTTATTTTGAAGCGTAATAATGCATTACACTAGACACGCCAGTCGTGTTTGTGCCGGTTCTGTCAATGCATTCTATTTATTAGGATTAATTCAAGGGATTAGGGTTAGGGCTAGGGCTGGGGCTAGGGCTAGGGCTAGGATTAGGGTTTAGGGTTTAGGGTTGGGGTTGGGGTTGGGGACCTAATGCAATATAGTAGGTACATGTCCGGTGGTTCGGTCAATGCATTCTATTTATTAGGATTATTTCAAGGGGTTAGGGTTAGGGCTGAGGGTTTAGGGTTTAGGGTTTAGGGTTAGGGTTAGGGACCTAATCCAATATAGTAGGTACATGTCCGGTGTAATACGTGAGAACCATTTGTTGTTTTTCTTTTTCATTTTAATACTTTTTCACACAAAAGCGAGGGGAAACCAAAACGCCGAAAGTACATTATGAAATGGGTTAATGTAGAAATTTTGGGCTAATGGAAATTGGCCTGAATTTGCACTGAAGCCTCTTTTCACCGCGCAACATAAATTTTGTAAAGTAATGATTCGGCTAACTCACCTTCGTGTGCGCCACACACATGCTCATGTCTCCCTCGCTCCTTATTACGATCCACATTATCCTTACAGTGTTCCCTACATCACTTTTCTCTCTGTCAAAATCACAGATTTATATCAAAGCCGGCCATTCATGCATACACCGTGAAATCGCCTGACGCCTTTCGACGCCAACAACCCTTTTCCGCTTGAGACATATCGGCTCATTCCACGCCACACACTTAATTTGTAGATTACGGAATGGGACGAGTGTGCCAAATGGCATCGGATCCATTCGGCAACTGTCCGTGAGAATAAAATCGCATGACACCAAGTCTACCCGTAGCATTCAATTGTCCACCGCGACCTTCGACTCTTTCCGTTCATTCCGTGACGTCACAGGAATGACTCGATAAATTTGCACAAAGTGCAACAGTGTGGAAGTAGCTCAGTCGGTTAGCTGTCGAGCTAACAATCCGAAGGTCGCGGGTTCGCGTCCGACGGGTTCTCACAAACTGGTTGCTTGTCTTAATGACACGTGACCTACGGCAGAGATCGTCCTCACGAGAAGTTGTGGTGCTGTATTCTAAAGGTGCTCCCAATTTACAAATAATATCCAGTACTGCCGATCTTCGGGTGGTCATGCCCCTATATATTTTGAGACATTTAATACGATGACTGATTATGTTTTTCTACGGGTATCATACTCATTTACATATCTGAACATAAATTTTATCAAAGAAATACACGTAAGATGTTAATCAATAGATGCCACATATTCAACACACAACAAAAGGCATCAAATAACTTTGAGATGACCCCTTGTGCTTGTAGGCATCACATGCATTTCATGCCAGGTGAGTCGATGGTCAGTCGTCATACCTGGCTGAGCGACAGCCTAAAAACAGTTTTTTTCTATTTCCGACAGTACTTTAGTTGTCAACATTTTGGGTTTTTAATTTATTTTTGTTCTTTTTCCATAGTATGAGTATGGATATTGAGAGAGTTGGCTACTTCACGCTTCTGTTGCCTGTTTGATGGATGCCAATAGCCTGTAGACACTGCTTGAGTTGCAGCGTGAGTAAGTGAGTTTAGTTTTACGTGAGTGAGCCGCACTCAGCAATATTCCAGCTATATGGTGGCGGTCTGTAAATAATCGAGTCTGGACCAGACAATCCAGTGATCAACAACATGAGCATCGATCTGCGCAATTGGGAACCGATAATATGTGTCAACCAAGTCAGCGAGCCTGACCACCCAATCCCCTTAATCGCCTGTTACGACAAGCATGGGTTACTAAAGGCCAATAATATTCTAACCCGGACCTTCACGGGTTGCTTGAGTTGCAGACAAAGCATCTCATGTTCTCACACACAGTGAATGAAACCAAGTAAATCACAACTGTATGATACGTAGTAGTATAACGATACAGCAATATGGTTTTGTATCACAATACAAATCTTATGATACAATACATCGATTTGCACCTCCTGTATTGCAATGCATAATATTGTTTACATTACAAGATATAGTGATTTATAAACATGTGACTAAAATGATCTGGTGTTCAGGCTCGCTGACTTGGTTGACACATGTCATCGTATCCCAATTGCGTAGATCGATGCTTTTGCTCTTGATCAGTGGATTGTCTGGTCCAGACTTGATTATTTACAGACTGTTTCCATATTGCTGGAATATTGTTTTGTACGGAGTAAAGCGAAACTCACTTACCAAAAACATGTGAATGATAACAAAAACTGTATAAGAACAAGTCAATACAAATTTTCTATTATTTGCTGTTTGCCTATAAGTAGCAAAATCCCCCCAAGCTTATAGGTTTCTCACCAACAATATCCAATCTTTGCTGTGTGAAATTTGAAGACATATGATTAAGGGTGTTGCTGGAATATTACTATGTAAAACCTGTTCACTCCAATGAGAACCTTCAAAAGATGTTTCATGG